ATTAGTATTTCTGGCTTGGCCCTGAAGTTCACACAACCAGACTTGCCACAAAAGTCAACACAGGGATCACTGATTCCAGTTTGAACCACCGGCATATTATTTGAACAAGAGGATTTCACAAATCATTCTGAGGATACCAAAGCAAATTCCTTGTGGTGGGTTTAGTTGAAAGTCCAATTGAATGAATATAAGGATTTTTTTTTTTAAAGCAGGAAAGGGCTGGACTTGACCAATAAACTGAATTTGGCTGATTAGGCCTCCCTATTAAGACCCTAGCTGACCCGCACACACAATTCCCTGAAGGCCTGCCCTTTCAGAGTACAGCAATGAGCTGGCAGTGAAAACAGAGACCAGCATGTAGATGCCAAACATCCCAATTTTGTTGGGACACACCAGATTTATACCTCTAAGGCTGGCATTCTCCATTTCTGTGTGCATGGGGTCATAAAGCCTGCAGTCTGGTCTCTGAAAAGACACTGTTAAATTTCAAAGCGCTAGTCGGTTTTCTAATCACAGCAAGTGTTTCTTCCTTTCAACCAGGGCAGCAAAGAATATGTATTTTACTATGTGAGTCAAAGTCATTTTAAAAGTGTTTACATGTATTAACAACAGTGTGTGTATATGCATACATGGCATACATCTGGGAGACCATGAGTTCTAGTCTCGCCGAGGCACAAAGCCAGCTGGCTGATCTTGGACCAGTCTCTTTCTCTCAGCCCTAGGAAGGAGGCAAGGGCAAACCCCTTCTGAAAAACCTTGCCAAGAAAACTGCAGGGACTTGCCAGGCACTCTCCAAGCATTGGACACAATTGAACAGATTTTTTTTTTAAAAAAAGCATTTAATATTAGGTGAATTCAAATTATTTGCTTTAATGGCAGGAGACAGTGGGATGGGGAGTAATTCTAAGTATATGAAGAGTCTTCATATGAACTCTAATTTTATTTGATTTTTATTCTATCCTTTTTTGTCTTGGCCACCCTGGTTTTCAGGCCTGCACCCCCCAGAACCAAAGAGGTCATGTGCCTCTAATTTGTGTGTTTAAGACTTTCTTTGCAACCAAAAGGTCTTGGGTTCAAACTTGGCATCTACAAATAGGATTTGAAAAATATTCTTTTCTGAAACTTTTGAGAACCCTTCTTAGTTAGGGGACCCAGAATGGGCTACATGGACCAGTCATCTGATTTATAAGACAGCTTCCTTCATGGCAGTTAACAATCCTTACTTATTTCTTTATACCATTCAGGGCAGTCAGGATTGTAAAATACAGCATCTTTTCTATCTTTTTCTGGCTGAGTTGGAGCTTACAAGAGACTTTAGGAGTCTTGAACAGGGAATCAAAAACAAGGAGTTACAGAGGAGAAGGGAGGAAAAATTGGAGGCAAAGTGGCATGTTATCAAACCAAAAGGTGCCAGAGGTAGTCTGTCCTTGAACTCAAGTCATAGATGGTACAACGTTAAAGAACAACCATTTGTGGGAGGATTTTATCATGTTTTTGGATTATTATTATTTATTTTTATTTTTTTAAAAAAATCACAGCTTTTACCAAAGGTTTTAGTGAGATGGTCTCTTTCTCCATAGGTATGGAAACAGACAGCTGGGGTATATTTGTCTCCCTCCCTCCCTGAGCTTAAGAATTTAAATAATAAAATCCTATTTCTTTCTCTCCAGATTCATTGGCTGAATTAAAGGGAGCGGGGGTTTCTTTCCAACCTTTCTTAGCAAGAGAAAGGAAAATAATGGGGTAACAGCTCACATGGGAATAGTTCCTGGGCATTTTGTAGGAGGTGTTTGGAAGAGAAGAGGGGTGAATGACCATATGTGCACATCATCATGTCAATGTTACAATGTACCTGTGACAAAAGCCAAGACACAAATATATAATGGTGGCATTTGTGTGATGGCATCATGTGTGTGTTGTTATTTTGGCCTAATCATGGTTTTCTACGGAGGCTGCTGCTAAAGATTATTTTTTCACCCTTTCTTTCCACAGCTACTAGCTTCTCATGTTGCTTTCCTCAATGCTTCCTTCTTGGAAACTTATCTATCCTCCTTGTCTTTAAAATGAAATGAAGGCAGCTGACCATCAGACCCAAAAAACACATTATTTTTATCCCTTACCAACAGAAGCAAAACCAGGCAGTATGGTTAGCAACCCCAAAAACCTGGCACCAAATCTAGGTCAGCAATTAGCTGACTTGATAAAACAGATTTTGTTGTTGTTGTTTTCCCCTTAAACTGTTTATAGTTATCGCTGGCTGGAAAAGACGGCCATTGTGCTGGTTTTACTGCAGCGCTTGATGGCATCCACAGCAGGGGCCATATCTTGCTTTGCGTGGGGGAGCTAACTTTCTCTGCTGCACATACCGGGCAGCCAAATCTGTGTGGGCAGAAATCCCACCGCCAGCTCTGAGAGCAAGAACATCACTAAGAGCAGCGGCAGTTTAGATTAAAACGCAGAAGTTCAAGGAATGACCTCATCTGTTTGTTTTGCTAGAGAGGATTTGCAAGCCAGTGTGATCCTGTGAACTCCCTAGGTGATTCATGCCAAAACAAGCAGTCTACCTTACATCCTTCTACCATCGTTACCTTCAACAAGGCAATGTGTCACTTAGCCAGGGTTCTGTTCCAGGCAGCCACCCGGCCTAAAGCTGATAAGTGCAAGTCTTTCTGAAATCATGAGGCCGAACCTGGGCTCACGCTGTGTTAAATGCAGAGCTAGGCGATGTGGAGGACAAACTCCCATCAGCTCCCGGGGGAATAGCCAGAGACAGATGTTACGGAGGTTGAACTCCAAAAGCATCTGAAGGGTATCCGGTTGCTTTGTCCTGACTGGCTGTCTCAGTTGTCACCGTCGTTCATATCTGATCACTGATCTCATTTTTTCTGAATGAAGGCTGCCAGATAGAGGCACGCCCAACGGGTGTGGCCAGTGTTCCCTATGAATTTCAGGTGGAAGCAGGGGCCAATGCATGCACTTTGGCATCCCCTTTTGCTCATAAATTGGTCACCTTTACCCACTTTTAAATGATATTTTTAATTGAACATTTTAAAGGAAAAAGGGAAAGCAGAAGCAAAACAGAAGCAAGAAGAGAGAAAATAAAAAAGTAAATAAATCAGAGGTGTACAAGTATCACATTAGGTAAATTAAGAACACATTCTGAGAAGGTTAATTTAGTTCTACATATTTAAGAATTTCATGTCATTTTGAAAATGCAGATCATTATTAAAATTAAGTTGATTAATGAGAACCAATGACAGTTAACAGCACAGTATGAAGTTAAACTGAAAAATTACAGTCTTATTTAGTCAGTAAGAAATCTACCCTTATTTATAAAATGATCCATGACTTAAATAAATCTAGATTTCAGATGTGGTACAAACCCATGGGTAGAATTATAGTCCAAACATAGTTTCCATATTAAATTAAATTCAATTCTGTGTCAGATTTGTTTTTTAAATGTGAGGTTATTTTAGACAATAAAGCATGCTGTATTTGCTCTTCATCTGCTATAGGAATTGTATGTGCAGTATTTTCTAATTAGAAGTATAGGATATCCTAGAAGCTGTTAGCATGTACAAAGCTAATTCAGTATGCTTTGTAGAAATAAGTCTTAGTAATATTTAATAGCAAGATTGCAGGTTGGAAAGGAAATTCAACTTTTAGAATCTCTTTCATTCTATTATAAATCTTTCTCCAAAATTACTGGTCCTTGCAATGTTGCCATCAAATATGAGGACATGATCCAACTTGATAGTTATACTTCCCAGAGTTTTTAGAAAACATATTACCAACTTTAACAATCAATACTGGAGTGCAATTGCAATTATTTGCAATACATTTTATACCAGTTTTCTCTAAGTGTGATATCACTGTTAATTCTTTTTCTTCCACTGAAATTCCCACTGTTGCATATCAATTTTTTTGAATTCTGCATCCATTTAATCATACAATCTTTAACTTGTTCTGTTTCTGAATTATATTTCCTCAGCAACCTTAAGTAAGGCCCAGCAAGCGCTCCAAGTTTTGTATTACAGAGTTTTCACATTTAGTCAACTCTTGAAGTGTTCAGCCTTGTTTTTGTAATTTCTTTAGAATAATATTGCTTGTTTGAAGATATTGGAACTGGTCAGGTAGTTCTGACAATTCTGAAGAAAGTAAACCTATGCAACATAGCCCAGACAGCGACCATGGGCTGAAAAGAAAATGCCATTTGCAGGTTGTGTGAGAAACAATATGCTAGAATGTTAAACAAGGAAAATAAAACCTTGAGTAGTTTTAAATGCTCTGGCATCTATGGTTCCATTTATTTTGGCAAGAGAACTAGCCAGCAATACAACTAAGCAGACTGTCTATAAGATGGTAACCTAGAGAAGCTGATTAACTATTTTTGTGATGATTTGTAAACCGATTTAAGAGTCTGACAGCTATGTTATTATAGAATAGGGCTGTAGAAGTACTCTAGGCTCAGTTCCAAAACTGCTTTGAAGTATGAATGTAACACCTGTTTCTACCTCTTTAAACCAGTTGTGACTTTTCCAAACCATGTGATCCCAGGAAAAGATGCAGTTGCTTTAAAGAGTTGCAGATAAGTCTGTGATGCTGCACACTCCAAAGTCTCTTTCTGGAATTGAACCTGAAGCAATACACAGACTTACTAGAGAATACTTTAAGGGACAGGTAAGTTGTGAAAGAACTTAGGAAAACCTGAAATTGATTTTTTCTCCCTTGACCTACTCTGCTAAGTGTGCTTGTCACATAATGATTCTTATTAAATGAGGATTAATTAAGCAATTTTAACAGCTGTGTGTCTATCTATCTATCTATCTATCTATCTATCTATCTATCTATCTATCTATCTATCTGAGCAATATGCATTACAATTTCAGTATATATGTGTTAAGTTACCAGCAGATGTAATTGGATCAAACAAAAATAATGCGTCTTTACTAAAAGAGTTTAGATCACTTCAGGAATTGCATCTGAAAGAGCTCTTTCATTTCAAGTTTAATACAATGTATATTTATTGCAAACAATAATATACAAAAGGGTAAGTTTTACAGAGAACCAAAGGGATTTGCAAACAAAATGACTGAAAAACTGTTCTTTTATCTAAAATTTATCTTTTTGAAAGGACAAATTATTTAAGTTACAGAAATGCTTTCAAGAGATCTGCTTTTTTAATATAGAAGTAGAAAAGATACCATCTTATAAGAGTGCTTTAAGCTTTTCTTCTACTGAATTCCCTATAAAATAATTAACAAATATAACTTTTTAAAATAAAAAAGTTGGCTAACTTTTTCAAAAAGCAATACTTTAACTGTTTGGCCACAAGTTCGCCAGTGTTGCTTTTCCCTATTGTCCTCCCCAGTCAGGTGAAAGGCTGGTTGGGTGCATTGAGAGGCTCCCATCATCTACTGGTTCCTGTAGCATCCATTCATTTCTATGGCACTTTCAAGGGACAAATAAAAACCCTGTGGAAGTGTGCAAACCTCTTGATAATGAAGAGGGCCTGTCTTGTTGGTTTACATCCATTGTTGCTTTGCTTCGCTTGGCCAGAGCAAGCCTTAGCTCACACACACCGAAGGATGAAGAGGTGGAACCTTAAGGCGATAGGGTGGATTGGGCCTCTTTGGATTGCAATTTAGGGATTTTATTTATTGACTGGTTTTTTAAAATGTTTGTGCAAAATGAAATCCCTGCAAATCAGATAGCTGCATATAAAGGAGGGTTTGCTGGTTTGCTTTAACCTGGGGAATTTCTGACAAATGAAAGAGTGGTTTGCTCCACTCTTACCTTGTTTGCTCACCGTACTGCTATGTGAATTTAGTCAGATCCAAGTCATGAGTCCATAAGTATCCAGGCAGAGATGACTCAGTGATACACTACATTAGCAATGCTTTGTTTGTACAATGAGAAAAACAACACAAAAGCTTTCCAGTTTATTCTTACCAAAGAAATAGAAAAGAAAAGAAAAACAGAGGGGAGCAATGTATTTGTACAAACCTAAGACACGTTCTGAAGGAATAATAAAATACAAAAACAAAGACAGAGAGAGATAAATAAAGGGTTATTGATTTAGACCATAATTTAACAATTAGGCACCATATACCCTCTGAGTAAGATGCTGGTATTTCTGTTTACACTACAAGAATTTCTAATGTGGAAGGGGGGAAATGAAAAAAAAAACCTCTTGATTAAAAACATCTTTTTCACAAAATAAATATATATAATTTTTTAAAAAGAAAAAAAAACCCTACTGTCATCCATGAACCTTGCTAAAGCTGGTGTCCCTGTGTCATCCCCATCTCCTTCCCTTGCAAAGCTGGCCTCATGGAATAAAGAATTCTAGTTTTTCATGCAATTTGCAGGGAGGGCTCCTGGTTTTTTGAGTGACCGCATCTGTCTCACAAATGTTGGCCTGGTGTTGGAAGTTGAAGAAAAAGGGTCCAGGTAGGGAATGCTGGTTTCTGGCTTTATAACTTGGTGTTGGTAGTTGCAAATAAAATAATAATAATAATAATAACAATAATAATAATAATTAAAAAGCTTCAGACCTTTAAAACTGAGCTCTCTTCTTGGGAGTTCCATATTTTCCCTTGGCAGGGGGGAAAATAATTGTGCAAGTCTTTCGGAAGATATCACAGGGTTTTTCTTTAAGGCGTTCTGATTATGTTACTTTAAGGCTCAAGGTATTCTTGCTTTTTCTTTAATTTTTTCTCCCCAAACATATTTTATTTCCATGCTAGAAAAATAAAAGTCTCTTTCCAAATCCCCATAATCATGTTACTGGGCACTTTTTTCCTTCCTTTCCTTGACTTTTAATGTACACTTTTTACTCTCTACAAGTGAAAGACTGTTAACTAGAAAAATACCTCTGACAGCAGGGGAAAAGGCTAAGGCATACTCTTTTGCTAAGTGTTGTTCAACTGTCCAAAAAAAGAAAAGAGCATTTTTTAAAAAGTTTCTCTAAAAACAAGTACGTATAAATCCCATCATATTGGTAACAAATCATACACAGTACATACTAAAAAATATTTAAAATAGAGAATATTCCTCACAGAGGAATACTTTTGAGTTTATAATATTTTTTTTCATTTTTTGTTTTTAGTTATTGTTAAAAAATAATTAACAAGTCCATACCTATGCAAACTAAGCTGGCTGTTTGAAGAAGAAAATAAAAACTGCCTTCAAATCAAGGGATTTTTGTCCATCATGGAATGTTTCTTGACTGGTCAGTTTCAAAGGGGTGCTGTAGTGCACAATGCATTCTGGGATATCTTTTTTTCCGCTCTTCCATTCACTTTTAGCTTAAAAAATCATTTTATAAGTCTGGGGGATTGACGCCATCCTTCAGAACTTTATGGTCTGGTGAGCTGTGTATAGACTGGCTGTTCCCAGTGTTGTGGGCTGTGGGTCTGAGGAATGGAAGGAACCCCCGTAGTGTCTGCAATCGGGGTGTACATGGGCCTCTGGGTGGGGTTCATGTAGGTGAATGTAGAATAAAGGCTGGAACTCTGGCTGGCAGCATGGCTGTAGTAGGTATTGGAGCTCTGATGGTCTGTGTAGTCATACTGAGAGCGAGTGATGGTCGGGTAGGAGGACCCATAGTGCTGCAGGTTGAAGGAGCTGTAGCTGATCTGCTGAGGTGAATGCTGCTGCTGGTCAGTGTAATGGCTGGGACTAAGCTGCTCAGTCTTGATGTGTGTCCTCTGCTGGGGCTGCCCTGGTTCGCTACTCAGGGTGGTGAGTGTGTGCTGCTGCTGCTGCGGTGGCGGTGGGGGTTGTGGTTGAGCTTGGGAGGGTGGCTGTTGAGAAGGCGGTGGCTGCTGCTGCTGCTGCTTGGACATCCAGACATGTCCAGTGCCTGCTGGGGTAGCTGTGGTGCTACTGATCCCGTAGCTGCCTGTATAGGTGACTTGGCCAGGCTGGCCATGGGTGACTGGAACTCCTGGATGGCCATTGGGCGGGAGATACTGGTCAAACTCATTAACATCAAAAGTCTCAATGTTGGAGATGACATCGCTGCTGAGTTCCCCAATGTCCACGTCTCGGAAGTCAATGTGGGGTGGCTGTCTTCCTCCTTCTTGCACTGGGCGACCTTCCCGCTTTAGGTCCTGCTTACCAGGCTGGACATCTGTTTTAGGAGTGGTAGGAGGAGTAGGTGGCCCTTGAGATTGCCCTGGAAGGAATACAAAGGAGATAGTAGTCATTACAAAGGGAACAGGTGATCTTTGATGCTTTTGAAGTCAAATGGCAGGCAAGCCACCCCTGGGTCTATCTTTCCCTTCTAATAACAGGCACAGACAAAGGGCTATAAAGATCCCACCAGCAGCCATTTTTAATGAGCAAAAGTGTTGCATGACAGTGATAACTTAGCTAAAGGTTAACTGGCTGGATATGAAGGAAAGGAGAGGATAAAGAGCTTGCCAATAACAATATCATTCACTTGTTATTTTATTTAATTGTTGTACGCTGCCCAGAGTTGCTTTGTGTGAGATGGGCAGCTATATAAATGTGACAAAGAAAGAGAGAAAGAAAAAGAAAGAAAAAGAAGTACCATTGCAGATTGTTGCATGTTGCTGAAAACTAGTTGCTTTACAGGGCCACAACAACAGGTGTTTACAGAGGGTGGAAATACACTGAAAAGAGAGTTAAGATGAATGCTGTTGTTGGAATGGCAAAGCAAAGCAATGAAGCGGGTGTTGAAGTGTTGAAGTACTGCCTATGGCTATCTAATTCCTATGAGTGTGATGGGCAACGGTATTTGAAGGCCTGTCTTGTAGGTGCACACATCTGTACTTGCTTTGCACCAATAACTGTCTAGCTCCTGCTTTGTCTTTTCTTAGCAAACTGCTCCAGAGCAATAGGCTGTTAACTGGGCTATATAGTGACGCTCTTTCAGAAGACCTGCCCACATGGGATGATCTTCATCTTCTTCTACATGGAGTGGAAGATGGCACACTTACCAGAATGCTCTCCTGGTGAATGGACTTCACTCATGCTGGATGAAGACTGGGGTGAATCTGCCTGCAGGGCCTTGAAGATAGCATTAGGAGAGATGTGGGTCTGCTCAGCTCCTTCCTCTTGCTCAGCCTGCCCATTCTTGACTGACTTTCTCCTTCGTGGTTGGTACTTGTAGTCTGGGTGGTCTTTTTTATGTTGCACCCTCAGCCGCTCAGCCTCCTCCACAAATGGGCGTTTCTCGCTCTCATTCAATAACCTGAGCAAGCAAGCAAGAGCCATGGAGTACGTGAAGCTTCAGCTTCTGATTGTATTACTTAGACCACCTTTGTTTTACTAGAAATTTGCTCTACACTCTGCTGCTGCGCAACCAGACCAGCAGCTGTCAGAAGCCCCAAACCGGGGTAGAATTAACTTCTGTTCACGCCCAGGATGAAACTCAAAATAAGTGCAAGGCAAAAAACCACCATAAAATGGCAGGCACCAGGCAAAGCAGCCTTCAGCATTCTGCTCTCCCCGCATCCCCCTCCTGCATAGAAGTAGACTGGAAGCTTCCCCAGAGCCTCTTGGCACTGTCAGGAAAAAAAGACCAAGGCCACTCCTTTCCTTACCCTCAGCAATTCTTGCAATCCCCTTGTGGCCCTACTCTCCCCCCAAAAAAGGAGGAGACCCAAGAGAGCAACCTGTCCTCCTTTCTCACCCCCCTCACATGCCTCAGACACACGCCCATAAGCAGCTTCTGCCACAAGCTCAGGTAACTGGATTCCTCTGGGCCAGTGTTGTCCAAACTTGGCCACTTTAAGATGAGTGGACTTCAACTCCCAGAATTCCC